CTTTCCGAATATTCATTGCATACGTGGCACGTGCTTATTTTATAGTCACGTGTGACAATTATCGCAAAAATCGGGTTGCACATTTTTACATTTTTACATTGTTAATCTTTACTCTCGCATCTCCTGATCTTAGAAACTCGTAATGATTCGCCAACTTTTTCTCTTTCCTGTATTTTTCTCAAGAGTCAATATCTTTTCTAAAGTAGTAAAGACAATGTAATTACCGAGGAGATATCCACGTGTACTTATATCTCATAAATTCAAATCATAACCTGATTAGAATTGTATAATTGTGTCAGTCAATCTGGGCTGATTTTAAAACTATTCTTAAAATACAACATTCAAGATGTTTTTACAGTGGGTAGGGCACTTTTCTTCTCGAAAATACTATAGACTTAGTATTGTGGTAAATCGACAATTTCTTGTCGTGACTGGATTTTCACCATTGCCTTGAAGATTGAAGTTTTCAATATTAAGCTTAAGACAACGAAAATTCTACGAAACGGTAATATTTCGGTCATAATTTGCCTTCGATCTTCAAATCCCTAATAAAAAGAATTTTTTTAGTTTTTTACATTACTATTAAAAAATAGTTTTTACATATTATACGATAATTTATGGCATTTAAAGAAAAATGTCTTCACCTTCCCACGAGATATTTGTAAAAATATCTTAGAATGAAATGAACAACGTATTTTGAAAGTAGATACTTCAAGCTAAGACTGATTGCGGAACGAATTCCTCTTACGAAATAAACAGTTTAAATATCGATAATTTTTCGAACGTTGAAAATTTAACGTTCGAACAACATTTCGTAAACAATTGTAACTTCCTTCGAATTAAACAACTTTTTTAATGAAGTTCTCACGCTATCGCGTCAGATCGATAAAATAATGCAAAAAAATCGTTCAAGTACAATCTATTTGCAATTATAAACAGTTATAGTATGTCACATGATATCGTAGCATATTTAATTGTATTTAAATGAATTACGTAAATGAAAATCATTGAAAAGCAATATTAAAATTATTGAATGAGTATTAAAGAGTTTCAAATTAATGTTTAGTCTCAAATACAAATATATGTATATATTGCAATTGATTATCGACATCTGATGTTATATGAGCCCTCCAATTAACGAGGTCGTTATGAGGTTGTTATAGAGATAGTAAATACTAATTATGCTTATATCATTTTTTGCAATTTAACTTATATAATAACAAAAATAAGAATTATAATTTTTGCATATTAAGTAGGTACATTGTGATATTAGATTATCTGTTATCTTTATTATTTAAGATAAATATAGTTTCATTCTTTGTTCACGTTATCATAATTACTAGCCTTACTTTATTTTCTTACAACAAAACATTTTATTTTTACTTTGTTATGATATATTACGTTATAATTACCAGCCTTACTTTATTTCCTTACAACGAAATTACATTTTATCCTTAATTTGTTATGAAGCGCGAAGGTCGAATTTTTACTATGTTAAAAGAACTTGCCAACTAGGAATTGATCTATGTAAATTAATTTTACTACTATAAATGTGTGTGTATGTGTGCATGACTTGTGTTTGCTCGTTTTAAACGATGAGACTTTTTTTTTAACGAAAGTTAACAAATAACACCAAAGAGAATAACGCATTTGATCATCAACGTTACTGATATTAACTTTGTTATCAAAGAACGTAATATCGTGCTGCACGCGGATATCGAATAATTTCATCGCGTAAAAGAATACAGCTAGACAAAAACTGATCACTCAGCTTTAGTGCTTCATGAGTTGGTCACGTGTTGCGCAGCGCAGGTGACCGTAGAATCAAAATATCGGTATCAATGTATAACGAATCAAATTTTCTACATATTAACGTGAATAAATTTTTTTTAATTTTACCATACCAATATTTTTCAATGGATTAACATCGTTTGAAAATTATAATAATATTTTTTTAGATTAATACTTGATTGTACTCATCCTTGTAGAACAAAAAAATGTTGAAGTCCTTTTTCAATCGTGAGTTCGAGAAAACACGAATAAACTATCATTCTATAAATAATTCCTGAGAGTTCGAAAATTACTAGGAAAAGCAAATTTACTTAGAAAATTTACCACGAAAAAGACACTTACTAATTAATTAGATTTTATTGGCAAGTAATTGTTCATCTGAATTTGGCCAATTTTATTTATGCTTACGCCTGCTCATGCTTTTTGATCTGTTACTAACCAGTCGTTGAGGATACTACGTGTACGACGCAGTAGTAAAAATTTATTTAAGTCGGACTTAACACTAGCCATAAGATTAAACGCGTCATTCGCATCGAATAAATATACAGACTAAGCTAATATCGATATGAGAGGTCCATTTGTGGGTTTCAGAAAAACGAAACAGCATATCGATTAATATACTTCACTGTACGCAATACGAATAAAAATCACTATATATATATATATATATATATATATATATATATATA